TCAACGCATATCAATGCGTCTCTTCAGGCGATTATAAATTACTGGTGAGTGAATGCAAGGTAATGATATCCGTTTAAACACTTTTAAACACAATTTTACATGTTTTTGGTGCAATATCCTAAAATAAATAATATTGCTCTCCTCTGTATTGAGCCCTCTTTTAAATTATTTGTTTCGTTCTCATTGTACCTGTATATATATATATATATATATATATATATATATATATATATATATATATATATATATTTAGGCCAGAGCCGGCGCGTCTTAACCCCGAAACCCTCGCGATTTCGGGCCCTCTGCCATTTTTTTCAGCACTGTTTTATGGGCATCCGTCATTTTTAAAAAATCATTTTTAAACTAATATTACATTGTCAGTCATCTACTAATAATATACATCGTGTATCTGCATTGCCGGTGCGTAGTACGCAGCATCCCTAGACGAGGTGGGAGTCCCAATAGGGCTAGTTTCAGCAACGTTTTTTGCTTTTTGTACTTTTTACTATTATAGAAACCCAAGTTATATTGTCAGTCATTAAATATAACAATTAACCGGGGCGGTGCTTACTACAACCGCTTGGGGGCCCCATGTCTACAGTGGGGTGGACTGTGGGTCAGAAGCGATAATTCCAGTAGCGCTTATTTTTTAAATTGTAATTTTCTTTCTTTTAAATCAATTTATGTATTTATTCAGCTATGATATTAGAGGGAACAATTTATTTTTTGCGTTTTTTGGTGTAAATGCATGACAAGGCCATGATAGATGTGAACAGACTGAAATAGATAGATATGCAGATATTGAGATAGATATGAACATAGATAGTTAGATAGATAGATATAAACAGACTGAGTTAGATATGAACACACTGAGGATAGCTAGCTAGATAGACGTGAACAGACGGCGTTAGATAGATAGATAGATAGATAGATAGATAGATAGAAACAGACTGAGTTAGATATGAACACACTGAGGATAGCTAGCTAGATAGACGTGAACAGACGGCGTTAGATAGATAGATAGATAGATAGATAGATAGATAGATAGATATTAAATAAATTGAGATAGCTAGCTAGATAACAGACGGCGTTAAAATGATAGATAGTTTGATAGATATTAAATGAATTTAGATAGATATTAAATGAATTTTGATAGATATTAAATGAATTTATAGATTGATAAATAGATATTGAGATAGTTAGATAGATAGATATCAAATAAATTGAGATAGATAGATATATGTTAAATAAAGTGAGATAGATACATTAATGAGATAGATATATATTAAATGAATTGAGATAGCTAGATAGATAGATGTGAGACGCTATTAAGAGACGATAAAGTAAACAATGTACCAATGTGAAAGTAAACTGCGGATTATCTCATTTGTTAAAGGTTTACGGAAAAGTCCTACCTCTAGTTTACCACTAACCCTAAAAACTCTTAATTGACCCTAATTTTTAGGTCAAACGATCGGCAAAATAGTAAAAACATCAAGTCCTATCATGCATTAGTTTCATTTTATTTTTGGTTTTTTAAATTAAAATTCAGTTTGTCTGCGATGCTTTTTCATGCGTTCTCTTGGAATCTTTGTAAAAGTTTTTTTTTCCAGCGGAGAGGCGTCGGCGTTGAATCCCTCTTAAACATTTTTTTTTCTAGCAAAATTTAGTCATGAAAATATTGGCGGTTATTACAAAAAGAATAACATTGACTCAGATTTTATTTAAAAAAAAAACAAAAAAATGTTCATTATAAAAAAAAAAAATATAATTAGTGAATATGTACTTAAATTTAGTTGGTAAATTAAATTCATTAATTCATTTAAATTGGATAATTCTCTGATTTTTGGTAATTTAAAAAAAATGCTCTCACCCACCACCATCCTTCCCTTATTTTTCTTCGAGGGTTTGTGGCTCCCAGGTTGGTAAACTTTGAAATCCACATGTAGTCGAGATGAGAGACTAGCGCGGGTCCTGATTTGGGAAGCAATCCATCTTTTATGGATATTTTGTTAACATTATGAAATGGACAAAGACCGACAATTGTTTAAAGACATTTTTATGTTTAACATTCTTTTTATAGATACAACTATTTAAGTAAATGCTCTGTTTATAATAAACAGTATTAAATAACATTTACCAGCCTGAATGTCCGAGAAATTTTCATAGAAAATATTCGTCCTTTCCACAGGATTCGAACCTGTATGGTACCGTCATATATCCTGACGTGCCTTACCGATCGGCCACAAAGGATCGTTCGGTTGGTAAGGTCGAATTTACTGCTTATAAACTTCAATTTTCCATGAATCTCTCACATACATTCATAACTGCATATGGCGTATCAAATGTAAACAAATGACGTCACACATTATGAAATGGACAAACTCCGAAAATTATTTAAAAATAAAAAGAATGTTAAACATGAAAATTTCTTTAAATAACAGCAAAAGTTGCAATACGAGCAAATGGTTGCTGAAGATGTTAGGTTCATAATACCCAGAAATTCATACACAGATGTCCTCAAGGACACATGGCAGAGTGGATAAAGGCGTTGGTTAGATTCAGTGACAGGACCCAAAGAGTGTGAGTTCAAGTGGAGAACTTGGAGAGGGGAATTAACAGGAGATAACTGATAACTGACCTCCATTAGACATGGCACGTGGAACGAGAACAGTCTACCCCAGCGAGCGAAATAAAAGGTTCATTTCGACATTCCACCAGTGTACAGAAACGAGGACAACAAAGATGACGATGATAGTTCGAACAGTGTAAATAGTAGACAATAAAAGTTATTAGGAGAGGAAATGTCCACTTATTGTGTGGATATCAAAGGTGCTTTGCAATATGAGCACTGGTAAAAAAATAGTTGCTGAAGACATTAGGTTTATAATAGCCAGAAATTCATACAAAGATGTCCTCAAGGACACATAACACAGTGGATAAAGGCTGGCGAGACCTGTGGAATCTCGCTTATATTAACCTGTGGGACCTTGCCAAAACAAGGTCCCACAGATTTTCGATTTCGTTTAGTTATAGGTTATTTACGTTCAGAGTTCGAAATTCCAACCACCTGAAGTAGGCCGGAGCGTACAACGGCCGAAACATTGTGACAAATATGGCGACAAAGATGAGGAGAATAGTCCGACTAATGTAAATACTGTTATTTACGTTGTTACGTTGATCTTGTCCCTGCCACCTAAATTTCTGAACGACCTTTGACCAGTAACATGCATGGTTAAATCTAGTGACATGACCCAAAGAGTGTGAGTTCAATACCTGGTTAAGGCGGTGGAGAACTTTGAGTGGGTAACTAACAGGAGATAACTGACCTCCATTAGACATGGCACGTGGAACTAGAACAGTCTACCCCAGTGAGCGAAATAAAGGGTTCAGTTCGACAATCCAATCGCCTGAAGAAGGCCGGAGCGTAAAACGGCCGAAACGTTGTGATAAATATGGTAGTAAAAATGATGATGATAGTCCGAACAATGTAAATAGTAAACAATAAAAGTTATTAGGAGAGGGAATGTCCACGTAGTGTGTGAGGGAATGTCTAGATATCAAAGGGGCTTTGGAGAGATGATCAAACGATAAAGGAAGCTGTTGAAAACATAAGCTGAGAAGTAAGAACTTGCTTTCTCGAGATAAGTGTAAACTAAAGCGAATGAAACAACTATTTTGACCAGTAAAGAAAGACAAAAGGTTTAGAATGCTTTGTGAATTGGAATCTGTCCAAGGCAACCTCCTCTCACGAAAGCAAATATTTTAAATATAAATACAAACATAAAAAAAATCATGTTTATATAAATAAATATCTATAGAAATAGCTGCATATTTGTGTCTATAAAAGTACGTTAATGTCTATATAAATACATACATTTTTGTCTGTATATATATATATATATATATATATATATATGTGTGTGTGTGTGTGTGTGTGTGTGTGTGTGTGAAAATATATAGAAAATTGGAAGGAACTTGTTAGGTAAATAATCCAAAGTTCCTTAGTATTTTAGTTATTATTTTTAAAAAATAGTGCTCGATACAAAAGTAGAAAGATAATATAATTATTTATTTAAAAATTTGGAATCATATTTTTAAATAAATAATTATATATATATATATATATATATATATATATATATATACAAAGAATAATCACACATAGAATTAATCAGAAGTATTAATGCGATTATTGGCGACATCCATCGCTAGAAAACATAATATATGCATTAAATAATCGCATTAATACTTCTGATTAATTCTATGTGATTATTCTTTGTATGTAAATCATATGCTGCCTAATGTTTTATGTTTATATATATATATATATATATATATATATATATATATATATGAAGAAAAATATACGGAAAAACAAACAAAAATCCTAATATGCGATTATGCTGTTTTAATATTTAATTTCAACGTCGGACGTTTCGGTCTAATTAAATCATATTAATCATATTTAAACGGAACGCTGATCTTATAAAAGATTTCAGATATCTGTTTGGATTGGTATTGCTTTTATGTCCATCGTCTTTTTCATGTTGAATTGAATATGGTCTATGTTAATTATGTTTTATGAATATGTCCTGAAGATGGTCTATTAGACCGAAACGTCCGAAGTTGATATTAAACATTAAAACAACATAATCACATATTAGGATTTTTGTTTGTTTTTTCAGTATATTTTTCTTCATAATGTCGGATCTATATCCATATATTTGCTTATATATATATATATATATATATATATATATATATATATATAGTGTAACCCGGATATAAGAGACCCGGATATAAGAAAAACCCGGATATAAGAGAGATTTTCTCTAGTCCCAAATTAGAGCCTGTGTTAATGTATATAAAATAGACCAAACCCGGATATAGAGAAACCCGGATATAAGAGACTTCTTCTCCGGTCCCGACAATTCTCTTATATCCGGGTTACGCAGTATATATATATATATATATATATATATATATATATATATATATTCATACATGTTTCATTAAATAATATAGACAAGTGTTGTCTATTTACTTTATGTAAATTCTTTTCATGTCGTCTGATAAGCTTAATAACATTATCATTAAACTAAGAAAGAAATTCACAATATTAATCCATATTTTTTAATCCAATCTAAGCTTTCGGCTTACATATGCCATTATCAAGGATGTCAATTACTGTACAATATATAAGCAATATACGGACAAAACAGTGATGATAGTCTGTTATTGTTTGCATGGATGATTTCCAAGCAACGATAAATCTTCATCTCATATAAAAAAAAAACAAAAAAACTTTATGTTCATATAAATGTTATGCAAATACATTTATGTTCAAATAAAATACCTGCGTCTTCATCATCTGTCTATATTTTTGAGATGAGGTATTGTAACTATTACACTATTTACATTGTCCGGACTGTTGTCCTCGTCTTTACTGCCACATTCACGACGTTTCGGCCGTTGTACGCTCCGGCCTTCGTCAGGATCTGTCTATATTTCTGAGATGAGGTATTGTAACTAATCGCACTCTTTACATTGTTCGGATTGTTGTCATCAACTTTACTATCTCATTCACGACGTTTCGGCTGTTGTACTTCTATTGTCGATAACTCGAAAACTGTAGGTTTTATCAAAATTTAATTGTTATTTCCGTGTTTAGCGTGTACATTTACACAGCAATATGACGATTTGGGAAAATTTTAATACATATTTAGCGCGGGGCTTAAAAAGCAAATTTACCAAAAATTCATGCATACAAATATCTTCACAAATATATATATATATATATATATATATATATATATATATATATATATATATATTTTTAAAGTAATTAATGGACAATTTTAAACCGAAATTATTATTACTTATTTCTTATTTCCTATTTCTGATTACTTATTTCTTTTTACTTCTTTCTTATTACTTACTAGCAGCATGGCCCAGCGTTGCCCGTGCTTGATTCAAAAATCGTACGACTCCTACAGCAATCGCTATCACATGACTTTTTTACCCTTCCTTGCCTTTAAAGGAGTGCCCTTTGCCGTGCTGATGTTGCTACATGCCTTACTTCTTGCCTATCTCACACTGTGAATTTTTTCTAAGCTCTATACTAAACATTAAATCTGTTACGAAAAAAGAACTAAACAAAATGAACACAAAACGATCAGCTTTAAAAAAGGACTCATAACTGGAAAAACTGAATGAAAAAAGAATGTTAACAACAAATACTTTTTCACACCCAACCCAGTTCTGCGGAATCAGAATCAACGTTGAGTTTAAGCAAGCGAATGAGCCAATTGGAGTAAAGTGCCATGCAGATTTAAATTTTTCCCACTTGTGACGAATGCACGTATCGATTTTTTTTGCATGTTAGCATGTTTAGTTATTCGTGTCAGTCAGCTGTTGGCTCTCACGCTGGCTAATAGAATCTTCCTGCCTATTTGTGGCAGCCAGCTATAGGCTCTCACTCTGGCCAGTAGAAAATGGCCGCAAACTACATGAAAACTACCGTAGAAGCATGAAAAAATCGATTATTTCCACTGTCGATGAGAGTTGGGAAATGCAAAGTCGGTCTTGACCTTCCCGCTAACTTGTAGCATGTGCATGTAAATTTTGGTGCAAATCCGTCGAAAATTGCGGCTGTGCATTCGTCACACACACACACACACACACACACACACATCCTGCCTTTTATAAGTAAATATTCTTATTACATATTCATTATTTCTTCTCATTTCCTATTTCTCATTACTTATTTTTTATTTATATCCCGAAAGAATACTTCTCAAATCGCTACAATCTTAACATATTCAAGTCTAGGGTCAATTTTTGTCTATCCCACATATTCTCATAATCTGCACTTACGAGTGAGAGTGAAAGTGAGTGAGTGAGAGAGAGAGAGAGAGAAAGAGAGTATGACATAACATCTTATACGTGTTTTCATTAATCGTTGGGATGTTTCCTTTCACCCTGATATGATTTTCACTTCTATAGACTAATTAATTAATTAATAATTAATTAATTTAACTGATAAAAATCATGATAATTTAGCGTAATTATTTTTCTGGGTTCTCATACCGCCATTTTTCATATTGCGTTCATTTTTTTTTTTGTCGATAACGATGTCAATCATTGGATAAAAAAATAAAAAAATATAAAAACTCTTTCGTTTTCGCTTTAGTAATTTTTTCGAAGTTCTTCGCTTTCTCTTGTGTATTAATTTGAAAAATCATATTTCAAGATGGCGTATCTTGTCCAATCTAATCTGCATTCAAAGTAAACAGAAAAAACAGTTTCCGCTTTTCTCTCTTTCATCTTTAGTTGATTTTTTTAAAACTTTTCCTTTTTTTAAAAAAAAATGTTTCTTTCGTTTCGTTTGTTTGTTTCTTTCTTTCTTTGTAAATTCCCACCTACCTTTCTTTCTTTTTTTAAAATTATCAGTAGTTTTCTTTCATTCTTTCTTACTAAATTCTCAGTCGCCTTCTTTCTTTCTTTCTTTCTTTCTTTCTTTCTTTCTTTCAACATGCGTAATATGCGGTCACTTTTTTCTTTCTTTCTTTCTTTCTTTCTTCAAACGCTTTACTTTTTAAAAGTCATTCTTTCTTTCTTTCTTTTTTGTTTATTTCTTTTAATATTCAATCGCTTGCGACTTTCTTAAAAGTGAATCATTTCTTTCTTTTTGTTTGTTTATTTGTTCCTTTCTTTCTTTAAATCTACGAGCGCTTCCTTCTTTCTCAAAAGTTCTTCATATCTTTCTTTCTTTCTTAATCCTTAGTTGCTTTCTTTGCTTCTTTCTAAATCCTTTGTCGCCTCCTTTCTTTCTTTCTTTCTTTCTTTCTTTCTTTCTTTCTTTCTTTCTTTCTTTCTTTCTTAACCACTTTTCTCCTCCTCTTCCCCTCTCTTTCTCATTCTGCCCCTTCTTTCTCTTTCTCTCTCCCCCTTCTCTTACCCATTATTCCTTGCCCTACGTTTATCAGCAAACAAAACCCCGTCTTTATCTCTGCTAGTATATCACCATGTACATCTCTGCCCTTCTACTTGACACGTGAAGCGAATTCCCTTTCATCTCTGTCGAAGATCTTTATCCACTTATTATTAATGTTTTAATAATGAAAACATCGCGCCATTCCAATGACGTTCCTTCGTACTTCTTGTCAAAACCATTTTTTTCCTTTTTGCCCCACAACGAATATTTTTCTTCTTCTTCTTCCTTCCACAAATAACACTTTTTTTTTCCTACTGTTTACCAGACGTTTTCATCATTATTACCACCTTTCTTGCTTTACATTTTTTTCATCCAACTTCAGTTTGTTCTTCCTTGAGTTTCTGTTTAGTGTTTAGCATAACAACAACAGCAACAAATAATAATAATCATAATAATAATTGTTGCCGTTGCAGGAAGATTAATGGGACAAAAAGTAAGAGAATAATGAAGAAAGAAGAAGAGAGGAAAATGAATTTTGTTGTGTGATAGTAAATAGAAAAATGAATACATTTGGAATAAGAGGGTTAGGGTTAGGGTAAAGAGGGAAACAAAAGGAAATTATGTGAGGAGGGCTGGAATGAATGAATGTGAGAAGATGGAAAGGAAAAAGGTGTGATGCACATAGGCCAGTGGGGAAAGGGATAAAGGGATGAAGCGGCAATAGGAAACTTAGACTAGAAGAAGAAGAAGAAGAAGAAGAAGAAGAAGAGGGAGGAGGAGGAGGAGGAGGAGTTTGAGGAGAAGAAGAAAGCAAAACAGATCAGATTAGGACTCAAATGGAATGAAGAAAAAATAAAAATTAAGAAGACGTGGAGAGGAACAAGACGTGAAGAAGAAGAAGAAGAAGAAGGAGAAGGAGGAGGAGGATGGGGGGAAGAAGAAAGCCAAACAGATCAGATCAGCAATCAAATGGAAAGAAGAAGAGGAGGGAGGGGGAGGAGGAGGAAGAGGAGGAGGGGAAGAAGAATGCAAAACAGATCAGATCAGGAATCAAATGGAAAGAAGAAGAAGAAGAAGAAGAAGAAGAAGAAGAAGAAGAAGAAGAAGAAGGAGGGAGGAGGAGGAGGGGAAGAAGAAAGCAAAACAGATCAGACCAGGAATCAAATGGAAAGAAGAAGAAGAAGAAGAAGAAGAAGAAGAAGAAGAAGAAGAGGAGGAGGAGGGGAAGAAAAGAAACAGATCATATTAAGAACCAAAGGGAAAAGAAGAAGGAGGAGCTAAATTAAACTTATTGATAGTAAAGCCTTTGATAGTGTGCCAGACACTTGGATCTTTAAGGCTTTGGACATGTACAAAGTCTCCTCGGTGATTGTAAATTTCTTTAAATATAGCATGGAACTGTGGAGAACCATATTATACCGAAATCAAACAAAAGGCACTGCCATTTCCATTTCTTTGAATATCCGACGAGCAATCTCTCACGGAGGATTCCTGTCGTGTCCTTTCTCTTTTGTCTGTCCTTAATCCAACTTTCACAAGAACTAAACTGTAATAAATATGGATACTAAATAATAAAAAAGAAAGTGTTTTATTACCATTTCTAAAGACGACAATAATTTGAAGGGTCTCCTCAATACTGTAAAATGTTTCAATGATGACATCGGGGTGGATTTCGGATTAGATAAATGTGAAAATTTAACGTTGAAGAAAGGGAAAATTTACAGAAACACATTTAATAGAACTCGATTTTGTCACAAAGATTACATAACTGGAAGAAGAAGAAGAAGAAGAGGAAATAAGAAGAAAAAGAAGAAAAGAAGAAAATTAAGAAGAAGAAAAAAAGAAGAAAGGAAAAAAAGAAGAAAAAGAAGGAGGAGAAAAGAAGAAGACAAAGAAGGAGAAGAAAAGGAAGAAGAAGAAGAAAAAAAAAGAAGAAAAAAGAAGAAAAAGAAGAAAAAAGAAAAGAAAAAGAAGAAATAAGAAGAAATAAGAAAAAGAAGAAAAGAAGAAGAAGAAAAAAGATGAAGAAGAAAAAGAAGAAAAAAGAAGAAAAAGAAAAAGAAGAAGAAAAAGAAGAAAAAAGATGAAAAAGATGAAGAAGAAGAAAAAAGAAAAGAAGAAAAGAAAAAGAGGAAGAAGAAAAAAGAAGTAATAAGAAAAAGAAAATAAGAAGAAGAAAAAGAAGAAAAAGAAAAAGATGAAGAAGAAAAAAGAAGAAGAAGAAGAAGAAACGATAATAGCTATAGATACAAATTAAACAAGAAAATATTCAATCACCTACTCTATACGGATGGTCCTAAACTCTTTGCCAAAGACGCCAATAAGTTGAAGGCTGTCCTCAGTATCGTAAAATATTTCAATGACGACATAGGCATGGACTTCGGATTAGATAAATGTGCCAAAGTAACATTCAAGAAATGGCGAATGATAGCAAACAAGCGGATGGGGACAATCTCTGTACACGTCATAGGCTAAAACGTGGTGCAGGGTTAAAAGTTGTAACCGAAGTTTTTATTCTTGCTACATTGGACCAATGCTAGCTAACTAGAAATTACCAAGCACACATATTGAAAAACGCTCTGTTCGTCCAAAATGTAGATTCTATGATAAATATACGAAAACAATTGACTATCTTTTATCAGACTGCTCAGTATTTGCACCCACTAAATATAAAACCTGGAACGACTGAAGGGGCTAATATCTGCATTGGAAAATCTGCAACGCTTACGGGGGAAAAACTGCTAGAAATTGGTATGTACACCACCCAGACCTGGTTACAGAGATAGAACCTGTAACAATTTTATGGGACTTTAAAATACACACAGGCAGAACAATCAAAGCTAATCGTCCAGACATCGTGATCAAAGACCGTAAAAACAGAATGTGATTTCTTATTGACATGGTAGTTCCTACAGATTTTAATGTGCCTTTGAAGATCTTAAAATTATCAAAAGATACAAGGATCTTGAAAAGGAAATCTCAAAGAAGAAAAAGAAGACACATGAGGACATCAATAATTTCTGAATGAAGAAGAAAAAAAAGAGCCCTCAAGGTTGATTGGAAGAAAAGAAGAAAAAAGGTTGATTGAAAAAGGGTCCGATAGACTCAATGAAGGATTCCTGGTAGTCAATGACTTAAAGAAATATAAAACATTGTATAGATACAAATCTGTACAGCTCACATATTACGAAGAGTCTTATCGAGGTAAAATGTATGGCGATCTTAGGCTTTAAAAATGATCAGTGGGAAATGTCATGAAGCTAAAACTTTCTGATCTTAGGTCAACTGGTTTGAAAAAAAGCTCTGGAATGAAATGTATATACAACAGACATCAAAGGAAAATAATAATAATAATAATAATAATAATAATAATAATAAACACAGGCAGAACAATCAAAACAATAAAGCTAATCGTCCAGACATCGTGATCAAAGACCGTAAAAACAGAATGTGATTTCTTATTGACATGGTAGTTCCTACAGATTTTAATGTGCCTTTGAAGATCTTAAAAAATATCAAAAATACAAGGATCTTGAAAAGGAAATCTCAAAATTGTGACACATGAGGACATCAATAATTTCTTTTGTAGTTGGAGCCCTCAGGTTGATTGAAAAGGCCCGATCGTAGACTCAATGGAGGGATTCCTGGTAGTCCATGCCTTAAAGAAATATAAAACATTGTACTCACCTGTACAGCTCACATATTACGAAGAGTCTTATCGAGGTAAAATGTATGCGATCTTAGGCTTTAAAAAAAATCATCCATCAAAAATGTCATGTAGCTATTTCTGATCTTAGGTCACTGGTTGGGACCCGGAATGAAATGTATATACAACATCAAAGGAATCAAAAAAATAATAATAATAATAATAATAATAATAATAATAATAATAATCAAAGCTAATCGCCCAGGCATCGTGATCAAAGACCGTAAAAACAGAATATGTTTTCTTATTAAGATGGCAATTCCTGTAGATTGTAATGTATCTTTGAAGATCACCAAAAAAGCTATCAAAGTACAAGGACCTTGAAGATGAAATCTCAAAAATGTGGCATATGAGGACATCAACGATTCCAGTTGTAGTTGGGAAAACCGGCTTGATTATAAATGGTTCCGGTAGACACATTGAAGAGATTCCTGGAAGTCCAAAGACCCATTACGAATGGCTTTATCTGCGTAAAGTATGTGATCTATTTGTTTTTTAAATGCTCAGTGGAAAATATCATGATGCTATCTCTGACCTTAGGTCTCTGGTTGGGATCCGGTAGGAAATAAGTGTAAGCCAGAAATCAAAGAAAATAGAATAATAATAATAATAATAATAATAATAATAATAATAATAATAATAATAATAATTTAGGGATCAAACAGAAAAGTTGAAGAAAGAGATAAATTAAGATTATTGAAGCAAAACGTATGAAGAAAGGTGTTGAAGCAATAAGAATAATAATAATGATGGAAAGAAGAAAGGAAAATATGAAAATATATATATATATATATATATATATATATATATATAAAGAAATATAGTCTTAAGATGTGCTATATTTATGGAATAAAGTGCTCAATATCAGAGATAGAGCGTGTAAATATAAAAGTGAACATAGAAGTCAGCACTTAGAGGCGACAGTCTGTTTCATACTATATGCAATCGTCCGGCCAAATATGCTGTTATTTTTCTCGGCTATTTATATATACGGGTTAGTGGTGCATTGTGGGTATTCTATTATGGCGGTTATTTTACCGGAAGTTGTTTGTTTATTTATTTGGGTCAAATTATATTGCTTGTTTTTATTTTTTTGTTTCTTATTTTATTTATTTATTTATTAACGTAGTAAAAATTTGTTTATATCACTTATTTTTACTACGTTAAATTTGTTTATATCACTTATTTTTACTACGTTAATAAATAAATAAATAAAATAAGAAACAAAAAATAAAAACAAGCAATATAATTTGACCCAAATAAATAAACAAACGATTTCCGGTAAAATAACCGCCATAATAGAATACTCACAATGCACCACTAACCCGTATATATAAATAGCCGAGAAAAATAACAGCATATGTGGCCGGACGATTGCATATAGAATGAAACAGACTGTCGCCTCTAAGTGTTGACTTCTATGTTCACTTTATATATATATATATATATATATATATATATATATATATATATATATATAGGATAACGATATATCATTATTTTTTAAATATCAAGGACAATTTTAGGCAAAACTTTTTTTTTTATGACAAAGTGTAAAAAAAAATTGTGTGACGTGTTACGTCTTTAATCTTAATTTTTTTCTTCATTACTTATTTAACCTAATATATATATATATATATATATATATATATATATATATATATATATATATATATATATACAAGTATAGGATTGTTGTATACGGAATAAATTCCAATAAACAACAAATATTATTCTTAAAAGAGTGCTCAATACAGAGTAGATCAAATATAATTATTTATTCGAAAATTATAACATAAATATTATAAAATCACTACAAAAATAGCCATTTTGTTTGTCTTATCAAGTGATGATGTTGAATGTAGAAACATTCTTCATTTTATAACATATTTATGTTATAATTTTCGAATAAATCATTATATATATATATATATATATATATATATATATATATATATGAGATTGTAGTATTTCAGGAAATCTTCTAGATTCGATGAATTATTATGAGAAATTATTCAAATCTTCGCCAAATTTCTATTACTTATAAATCTACGCTTGATCCTGGTTAAATGTTCTGGATGGAGCGTCTTGGTGAAAGAAGACGTTGCTCTTGGGGCTGGTTCCGGTGAGTTATGCCTGCTTGGAGGAGTATCACTCCCGGAATTAGGAGTAGCTGCATTATATTGTGTCTAGATAGTTACTTCTTTGTCACCGAGGCCCAGTGGTATGACGCTTGCATTATATCATGACGATCCGGGTTCGATTCTCTGTAGGTGATGAGACCTCAAAAGGACGAAATGGCCGTGCAGTTCTTTCTGCATCCATTTCAGGATTCTTGTTCTAGACTCGATGAATTATTATGAGGAATTATTCCAATCTCCAAAAATTTCTGACATTTATATATAAACTAGACTATTCGTGATCCCTTGGGTCACTGACGCTTCAGTTTATGAAATATTGAAGTTGATTTCAACATTAAAAATATTGTGTGGCTGAAGAAAGTTGAAATAAAAATACTTACTTGTATAAACAACTCCCATTTTTAAACATTATTCGCTTTTAAAAATCAGACTAACTTAAAAATATTTTTAATATGCAAAAAGATGTTTTTAAATCATAATAACTCGAAAATATTTTTTTAAATATGCCAGAAAATATTTTTGAAATATGTCAAAAAATGTTTTTTAAATATGCCAAAAATTATTTTTTAAACATTTTAAATATTGTTTTTTTTTAAGAAAGCTGAAATATAAATAAACATGCACGCAATCACAGACAGGTGGAAAGAGGGAGAGGTGGAAAGAAAGAGAGAGTGGAAAGAGAGAGGTGGAAACAGAGTTGTGGAAAGACAGAGAGGTGGAAAGGGAGAGGTGAAAGACATTGAAGTGGAAAGAGAGAGGTGGAAAGACAGAGGTGGAAAGAGAGAGGTGGAAAGAGAGAGGTGGAAAGACAGAGAGTTGAAAAGAGAGAGTTGAAAAGAGAGACTAAGGCAGTTTCCATAAGGGTCACACGTTCGATTTACATCCAGCGGCCAATAATTTCTTAATAATATTTGCGATATACAACCCTTTCCTTAGACGAACAAATAAGAAAGGCTTAAAGAAGACAAGATGTCTTCAGGCCATATAGACAGGCACTTCAAAATCGAAAGTAAAAGGAAATGAGCAAATAATAGAAACCATATCACTTGAAGACTTCCAACAGCAGTAACGACGATTTTAGAAGTTTCAACCAATATGAATGGAAACGGTTTATTCACTATGACCAAACAAGCGCATGTGCGCGCATGCGCGTACACACAGACACACAAAGACACATGCAGATGTGTATGTGTGTGTGAGTATCTGTGGGTGAGTGTGCGCGCAGGTGTGCGCGCGCGTTGAAATATATTCATGCCTATACACGAGTGAGAGCTGAATGTTTGTCAACTCAAGTAAGAAGTTCTTTAAATATATAAGCATATTGAGAAAGAAAGAAAGAAAGAAAGAAAGAAAGGAAAAGAAATTAATAGTTTGCAATAGATAGATAATGAACAAACTGAGATAGATAGATAGATAGATAGATAGATAGATAGATAGATAGATAGATAGATAGATAGATAGATGTCTGAGATAGATAAATAGATAGATAGATAGATAGATAGATAGATAGATAGATCTGAATAGAATGAGATAGATAGATAGATATGAACAGACTGACATAGATAGATAGATAGATAGATAGATAGATTTAAACAGACCTGAGAGTGAAAATGAATATCCTGAGATGGATAGATAAATATATAATTAGATAATGAACAGACTGAGATAGATAGATAGATAGATAGATAGATAGATAGATAGATAGATAGATAGAAAGAAATAGACCAAAACAGAGTTTTAAACATACTGTGATAGGTAGTTATAAATACTCTGACACACACACACACACATATACATACATACATACATATATATATGCCTTAATTTTTGAAATTTTTCTGAAAATATTTATTCCTGGAAAAAAAAAGACTTAAATTGTAGACTTTCTTTTGAACTAAATAATTGTCCCATACATATTCAGTATCTCCAAATCACTCATCAGAAAATAATGTCTAAAATAACGGGTTTCATTTCTTTTTAAATTTCGTTGAAATTTCTTTCGGAATTAAGAAAAAAAAAAAAACAAAAACAAAAAACGCGCAATTTGAAAACAAGTCATTGCGAAATTACAGATCGTTGCTGGAACTTGGTTTATTTTCTTTTTTTGAAAGCAAAATTAGCTCCATTATGTTTTTGGGTCCTGAAACACGAAATTACTTCACTAACAAGACTTCATTCACTTGAATTTGCAACTTACCGCTTACAAAGTCTCCGTTCATTCATTGCCTTTGAAAATTCACACAATACACACACACACGCATGCACGCACACACCACACACATACACTGACACTCTCTCTCTCTCTCTCTCTCTCACACATACACTGACACTCTCTCTCTCTCACACACACATACATATATATATATTTGTATAGGCAGCAATCCTTCTTTCATGCGCATTTCATTGAATACGACAAACAAGGTGCTTTGATTTAGTTTTTTATAAAATTTCTCATCTGATCTAATAAGTTTTTTTTCTTTCCGGATGATAAATTATATAAAAACTGTCCGAATTTTCTTTTTATCCAAGCGCTTTCGGCTATACATTTAGCCATTTTCAAGGATTAAATAATTTAACTGTTAAATAATAAATACTATGTTGTATGCATGTTTTATAAAATGTTTTCATTTTTCAAAACACGGTCAAGATATTGTGTCCATGTTCATAGTTGATATCATTAAGTGTTGGTTTTATTGCTTTTATTAATAAGGCTTCCCTTATTTTTAGCCTTATTTTATCATTTTACTTCTTATTTACTGAATATGTGAACTCTTCCACGACAAGCTAGTTAACCCCTGCTAAGAAATGCACTATTCCTCTTTTCACCATCACAATCTAGCAAAATATATAACAAATTTTCATTGGTCAATCACCTTCAATCTAGCTACTGATTGGTCAGTTCCAACCAATCTGTTTTCCCTTCCCACGTGGTAAACGACCATTATATAAACCCAACACGTGTAAGCTCCCTGTAGTAGTTTCTTCTCATTCCTTGCTACAAAGTGCCAGGATGTAATCTTCAAGAACTCCCGTCTTAACCTTTGCGGTCAGACGTTAAAGACAATTACCAACATTCACGCAAGTACGAACTCTGAAATCTCTTCTGAACTTTTACCAACTTACCAACTCACAATTCCAAACTTTATTCTTCTAAATTACAGTTTAATATTACTTCTTCTTAATATGAACTCAGGTACAAATATTACCTAATCAAAGGGACACGACTCTGTCTTACCTTTTTAGTTCGCATGCATGTATATCAAATATTAATAAATTCAATTGTTATGTTTTTGAAATCATTCCGTTCAGTTTCGTATTTTATTCTATGTGCTATTTACGTCAAATATAAACTGCATTGCGTCCACGCATTGTCCTTAATCCCACCTTTCCTAGCCAAAGTTAAATATTGGTAACACTGTCACTACAATAATGGCAACCCCGTCGTTCGTCGTTCGACGTTCACAACAACAATGGTAACACCGTCGCTACAAATATGTGATTACTAGATTACAAGTGCGGCTGTAGCTTAATTTAACTGTGTTTTTATTAAACTGTAAATCTTTTTAATACTACTGTTTCCTGATCCAATTCAATACTGACCAATAACTTTTTCATAATAGATAGATAGATAGATAGATAGATAGATAGATAGGTATAAAGGATGAAGAGAAGAATAGGCAATAGATCAAGACATCTGGAGACATCGATTGACATTACATTTGAATAGTTGGCGATTATAACTATCAGGGAAACAGGAAGAGGGGAGGGAGTTCCACAGGCGAGAGGTGCGAGACATGAAGCTATTGGAGTAGAAGAGACGGCTACATTTAACAGTTTTCAACACTGAAAGGGTGAGAGCGAGATGCCAACCTAGTTGAACGCTTAATTTCATGAAGTGTGGGAAGCAGCGAAAGCACCTTATCGGAACAGTTACCGTCAAAGTATTTGCTGGACGATATATATATATATATATATATATATATATATATATATATATAAAAAAAAAATGTACTTATATTGTCAAATAAAAGTAGTTTTAGGAGTTGTTTCAAGTACAAAAATAAAATAAAGTAAAATGAATATGACGGATGTGCTTGTATATATATATATATATATATATATATATTACTGCATAACAAATTAAACCTTGCATTATTCGGACTCTTATCCTAATCTTCATTGCTATATTCACAACATTTCGGCCGTTGTACGCTCCAGCCTTCTTCAGGTAATTGGAATTTCGAATCGAACCCTTTATTACGTTCACGGGGGGGGTAGATTATTCTAGTTCCACGTGCCATGCCTCTTCCGGATGTCTCAGTTATTTCCCTTTAACTCAACTCTTCAAGTTTTTGGTTCGCCACTGCTGTGGCCTGGCATTGAACTCACAACTCTTTGGGTTTTGTCACTGGATCTAAACAACGTCTTTATCAACTCGCCTGAAGAAGGCCGGAGCATACAACGGCCGAAACCTTGGGAATTGGGCAATGAAGAGAAGGATAAAAATCCGAATATAGTAAATAATGCAAGCAATCATAATACCTCATCTCAGAGATATAGACAGAAATTAAAAGTTGGTGTCATATTTGACACTGCAGGATGTAAAGTATCTTCTAAGGGTTTTAAATAAATACCGACCTCAATCGAATAACACAGTAACAGTATTGTTTTTTAGATGAACACAACCAAGCAAATACCCTGAAAATACATCCGTTGTCATTGCCCTAGTCGCAATGGCGCCGCAGACGTGTTTTAATACGGCAGTGTTTGTGTGTCTGCTACTGGACACCCCCGTCGTTTTTCGAGATATGAGGGCCAAACAACTCAGTTCCTAGGGACCAACAGCACATGGGATTTGATTATAGTGAAGGCTTTATGCAGAGCCAACCACACTTTTTGAAGAGCCGAATACAGAGACCTGGTGCATCACGTGCCAAATGGTCGTGCCACAAGTTCTTCAGACGACTCACTGCAGGTTTTAAATTCAGAGTTGTCCTTCTCCTAGACCAGTTGCCATCAAAGGCTATAGAACTATCTGTCCAGGAGGCACGGTGGAGTCATGGATAGCGGCTCGGATTGAGGAATCGGAGAGCCGCGTTCGAATTCCTGTCGAATCCATTACATTCAATTACGTGCTAATAATACCCTTGGAAAAGGTATGAATCCTCTTCTCCCTCCACCTATGGATAAAATAGCAGGACAGATTGGGCTTGTGTGTCGCATCGTGTTAAATATTGGGCGTTTGTGAAATAACATATAAACTGTAATTCAAGTGTTTGCATTTAATTTTCGCAACACCAGCCTTTCGCTTTGCGATCCCAAAATGGAGCCGCGACTCATAGATTAAGAAGCGCTGGTCTAGATGACCAGCTGATCTGCCTTCTCATCTAACTAACAACACAATTAGGAAAACAAACTGGCTAGTGAGATTCACTCGCCCCAAAGCCAAACATTTCGTCTTGATGAACGTTTCTTTTCAATGAGGAACGTCAGTTGGCAGTGAGGTTCGCTGCGTACCTCAAGAAGAACTCGTATAAACAACACTGGTCAACACGATTTTTCGTGCCAAGAAAAAACATTTAGCTAATTTGATGGTGCTAATTCCGAAAATGACTTTACTTTTACATGGTTAGCTTCCGTTTTTGCTGTACTGAAATTTCTAATTTTTGGGAAAAAAAAGATCAATTTACGATCTTGGCTGATTGCAATATTTAGGTAATAAAGGTCGTAGAAACCGATCAGTTTTCATAGAAGCCGAGCAATTTATGTCGGCCACCTGAAATAAAATATTTTTATGAGAAGAAAGTGTCTATGAGTCAAAAATGTTAAAATAGAAATGCCGAAGTTTTCCAATTTATCGCCAAAATTCTAATTAACTGATAAACTTTATCAGTAATACACTTTAGTAAACCTGATAATTAAGATGACATCAAAAAAATGGAACCCTAAAATCTGTTTGATATTCATAAATTTATCCCATCACTTTCATCTCTTCACTACGGAAGGAAACCAAGCATATTGAGAGCATTTTTTCACAGTTGGAAAGAAACTCCAACTAAAGACATCCCAATTGAATGCACCAATTCCATTGTACATGATTCTGCTGGAATATCAAAAGGGACTTAAATAACATTGAACATGACAGGCAATCAAGAAAGAGAAAATTTTTACCATCATTCTTATGTTCACGAAGGTTTTATTTCTGCATTTATGAAATGATTTCATGAAAATACATATTGGTCTTGTTATATTCAGTCGTAATATTTTTAAAGTCTTAGGGTCTGATTTTATTATTGCAAAACTAGTATTTCTCAATAAGTAGACCAATATATATTTAAGAGAAGTTATGTCTACTTATTTTCAGTAGGATCCTTTTATATTCGCGTCCTGGGTAAGACGATAAGCTACGTCCAGCAGGCCTCTTATCAGAAGGTTTTGAGGAGCGTGGAACCACCTCTTAATTGCTGATGTTCCCAGGTTAGTATCCCAACTAGCGCAAATAGTTAACAGGGAAACTGAGGTAAAAAGCATTATAAAAATGTAAAAATAGGTTTTGATACCAGAAATACTTTGCAAAAAAATTTTACCGGCAATACGTTTTTGCAAAAAAACTATTACCAGCAATACGTTTTTGAAAAAATATTACCAGCTATACGTTTTTGAAAAAATAATATTACCAGCTATAATTTTTTGAGGAAAAAATATTGACAGAAATAGATTTTTGACAAAATAAAAATATTACCAGAAAAAAAAAGGTTGTCGGCATTAAATGACCCATTAAGGTTGATATGACGTAAAACAAACCAAACCAAACCTTTCATATTCACAGGCAAGATTCTTAGTATCCTTATTAAAGGAAGAGAGAAAATTACCATGTTGATACATATTCATTTATTCCGAGTACTTTCGACGTTAGCATATTGTCATCATCAAGTTGTTTTTTCTAAGACAAAAATTGTTGTGTCCATCTGAAAGTTAAAATTTAATTACTTGTGAAATGAAAAGCCCTAAAGGTATGTAGTGTACGATTTAAATTTCACGACATAAACGCCAGCGGAGGTAAATAAATTATGAAATATCAAAATGTTTAAATTATTTAAAAATTTAGTTTTATGTGTCAGTTCATTTCTTCGACTGTACCCTGCGCATTTACAAACACAGATATAAAGAGATGACTACTGATCATTTAAGCAGACCATGTGACATTCTAAAACGAATCTATCAATAGAAGACAACAATCCCATTTCCCATCCGAGGGTAACGGACTGGTGATCAGGTGTGCCTATGTCGGTGACATACGTATTCATACTTGGGATGATACTGAACAGAAAACTAAAATCTTCTGCTAAGGTTTCAAAGAAAATTTGGACGAGTGTCCTTATCGTGGTTGTTATCTTTCTTTGAAAGTTTGAATTCAAGATGAACTTTTAAATTTCTCTCCAAATTTCTCAGATGAGGAATTATCATTATTATGCATTAATCTATTTGGACGAATCTCCTCGTCTTAGTTGTCGTCGTTCTATTAACTTTTAAATCTTGAATTCAGCCTAAAAGCTATTCTTTGCGACTTTTTTATTTGCTGTGTCATCAGTGAAAGTTAAAGTCTTCTGACACTTTTCTGCCAGTCGTGATATTGACAGCCAAGGGAAAACAGTTTTTTTTTTCCTTGTTCTTTTGAGTCACTCTTTGAGGAACGATTTCGTGGCATGCATCATTCAAAATAACTGATCAGAATTTTTCCCACTTTCTCCTCCATTTTGGGCATCGTCCGGCCGCCATCATCAACCACCAAAAGAGCGGGCAATCGATCTTCGCAGGGGCTTAACCAGGACTGTCTTTAGTGAAAGGAGATTTGCATATTTTACTTTTCTTCTTTTTTTTTACTTTTTTTCTTCTCATCCCTTTTGCTTAGTTTTCTTCCTTTTTCTTTTTCCTTTTCTCTTTTTTCATTTCCTTTTCGATTCCTTGTCATGTCACGTACCTGATCAATAAGTCAATTCTTAATCTATCTTAATCTCTCTCTCTTTGTCATTTTATCATTTTCTGTCTTTTTTTCTTTTTTTTTTCCTTTTTTCTCTTTCTTTCTTTCTTTTTCTTTCTTTCTTTTTTCTTTCATTTTTCTACCATGCTGCCATTCTTTCATTAAATATTTTTTTCTTTTTCTTCTTTTTTATTAAATTACTTTTTCTTTCTTTCTGTATTTCTGTATTTCTTTCTTATTAAATTCCTTCTTTACCCTCATTCTTGCTAACTAGTTTCTTCATTCTATTTTTCTTTTTTCAATCTTTTTTTTCTTTACATGTTGTTTTTTTTTCTATATTTTCTTTTTCTTCTTTTCTTTTCTCTCTGATTTTTTCTACGTTTTTTCTGTTTTTTCTCTATTTTTCCTTTCTTTTCCCTTTTTTCTTTCTTTTTTCGTTGTTTTTTCTTTCTTTGTTTTTTTTGCTTTTTCTTTGTTTTTTCTTTCTTTTTCGTTTTCTTTCTTTTTTCTTTCTTTCTTTTTCTTTGTTTTTTCTTTGTCTCTTTCGTTTTCTTACTTTTTTCTTTCTTTCTTTTCTTTGTTTTTCTTTTCTTTTTCTTTCCTTGTTCTTCTTTGTTTTTCTTTCTTTTTTCGTTGTTTTTTTCTTTCTTTTTCTTTGTTTCTTTCTTTTTCTTTGTTTCTTTCTTTTTCTTTGTTTCTTTTTTACTTTTTGTTTTTTCATTCTTTTCTCCTT